CAGAATGTCTATGAACACATACTACATCCGCAGCCAGTCTCGACAGAGCATGCTGAATGGCCCGGACCTTGGGAGCGTTTGGCGGCGATTGGCAGCTGGCCAAGGCACATGATGACATTTATGTTGCCGAAGTCGATCTGTTGATCGAATTGCTGTCTCGCTTCATCGATGACAACAAATGCCATTGTGACTGGAGGAGCCGCACGTGGCAAGCGCCCGAAGCGACGTCAGACGTGACGCCGCCAAATTGCCGGCCCGGCAGCAAGTCCAGCTCTGGTTATCCCTAGCTCGCAATCAGGAATTCGACAAGTGCCCTCGCTTTGTACTCGAAAGCGCACCACTGAGAGATCGATTTTGGATTACCGGTCTTACCCGGCCGATCAACATGGCTGGAACGCGATCGATATGCAAGCGGGTCGCTGTGAGGTGTCGGGAGCATCAGGCGATTTGTATGCGACCGAACAACGAAGGGCTCGCCTAATGACGTGAGGAAAAAGAAATTATTGGCGAACCCTCTCAATGGGGGGCGTTGCATGCCAGGCACACGTTCTTGCTTGCAGCGGCGTTGGATCTAAGACCTGCAGCAGAAAAGTGTTGTAGTGGGCGAACCACGAGGGTGGGAAAATTGTCGACCACGGGAGATGAACATTCGCGTGACGTACGTAGAGTGAACGTGTTTGGGGGCGAGAGTAAAAGCGAGGAAAAACAAAGTGCGGTTGAATGGTCAAACATTGATGTTTCTGGCGTCGGTCTAGAATCCCGATCCGGACGACGACAAATGTGGGACGGGAAGTCCGGGCCCGGTGGTGAGGACGGGTGTGACCGGTTTTGGGCGGGCCTAGAATGCCGGGGCGGAATGAGACGTGAACCAGCTCCTGCGGCCGGGCGGATTATACCGGTCGGCAGCACCCGATGGTGAGACTAGTCTGAGGACACCTGGATCGACGACGAGGGCTGATGGCTATTCTGTAAACGATATACGATGCAAGAAGCTCGTTTTGGAAGACCCTGCAGCGCATTGGTGAGTAAGACTGGTCTCGTCTGTGCACAAAACCAGGAGAAGAACGGGCGCCGATATCGATCTCGCAGCCGTGAGCCACGCATCGCGGGCAGGCAGTGTCAAAGTTGCTGTCGCATACAAACTTCTGGAATAAGAAACAATAACCACGTTGACGATGGTGAAACCCGTGACGGCGGCGCACCAGCGGGAGTTCGCAGGATGGGGCGCGGCGGGGCGCCGTTTTGCTCATGAGCCAAGAACCAAGCCAGCTCACGTTGTGGTGGTTCTGTAGCATTGGTACCGAAGTGATTGCCGGTTCAGGATCCAGGATCCAGGGTTTGGAGCAAAGGTTGGGTGCACGGCAGACCAAACCAGCGGAACGGAGCATGGCACAGCGTGGCAGACGCAGGCGGGTAGGCTGGCTGTCGATGAAGCCGTCTGAGCATCGAGCATGGTGCATGATGATCGAGCTCGGACATGGTTGTCATCGGCGGGTTCGGCTAATTCGGTGTGATGCTCGCCGCCCGGACCGGCGGTAAGTGGGCATGCTTACGAGAGTTGATCATAATTATGGCGCCGCTGGCTGGGGACGACAGCGCCAGCGAGCGAGGGATTTCTGGAGATGTGATGCTGGCAGGTCGAGCTGTGAATGCAGATCGAAGTGGTGTAAGAGACTGCAGTGGCCAGGGGTTCGACGTCTAGCGGCGACCGTGTATGCCTCGGGTAAGGTAAGGTAATTGAAGGTAATCCAAAATAAGGTAAGGCAGTTGCACAACCTTGCCAGCAATTGGTGTGAGGGGACTTTGCAGAGAGAGACGAGAGACGCGGGACAGCTAGTGACCCAGACCTGATGCTGGACAAGTCTCCGGAGCAGTCCTGGAATGACTCCTGGCGCACAGTAGATCCAGCAACTCGGATCCAAAGCTTCAAGAGCGCCCGCAGACGCACGCCCGACTCCGGGAAAAGAAGGCTCGACAGGTATCGAATATCGGCAGTGAATGCAGGGCGAATTCAGGTATGCTGCAGCCAGCAACCTAATGTATTTAGCCCGGTTGTGCCAGCGGAAAGACTGGAGCTAAAACCCTAGGCCAGCTGGAAAGTTGTCTGGTGCTGGCGAATGGCATTTCACCATTGAGCTGATGAAGGATGCAGAAGCAGCTGTAGGGTGCCAAGCTGTGTTCAGCTGTGCTTTCTTCTCCGGCGGCCCGTTTCGATTTCAGAGTCTCCCCGCTCTTCTCGTTCAACCAATGCAGCTGAAAAAAAAGAAGAAGCAGGCGGGAAAGATGTAGAAAGCTTCTCAATTCTGGCGGTGATTGGCGCTGACACGATGGGCGGCGTAGAGGCTGACTCGACGGCATTCCTTGTGCAGAGGGATAAGAGACTTACTTCGGCAGAGGTTAGGTAGGCATGAGGGAATAGGTCGTCTGACTGCGCCGAAGATGTCTGCTGTCACCAGGCATTCTTCAATGGATCGGCCGAGTGGCTGCGTTCGCAGGCTAGGAACAGCAGTTGCCAGTGGGCATCGACCAGTCGCAGCGCACCCGCCAAATGAAACCCGGCCGGGAACAAAGCGCATCAACACACAAGTGTGAAAGTAGAAAGAGTGGCACTCGTAGGGCAGTCGGCGTAGTGGTGTCGATGATTCATCATTTGCAGAGGAAGCCGCAACGTGCCCCGAGCTCCATCGCGACCTGCATGACAGACAGGGAAGGGAGGTTCAGTTGGCTTTGGGTCTGCTGCGTTGCGCCGCGGGTGAAAAGCCTGACACGAGCATAATAATGGACGGAACAGCGGGGGCGGCAGGTGGATGAATGTTGGGATGTGATGGGAATCCTCGTCATGGAAGAGTGGTGAGTGTGAGTGTGAGTGAGATTGAGACGGTTTCCCATGCCTGCGCTGCGATTGATACGAAGTGCTGATGACCATTCGTGGCAAGGAGCAATCGTGAGTACCTACTTGCCGTCTCCGAATTGAAAACCAACAATAAACGAGAAGGAGGTATGTGCTGCCTGCTCCTTCCGTCTGTTGGTAATGGAAGGTGAGACGAGATGAGAGGTGACAAAGCAGCAGGCACTCTCTCTCACAGCTCTTTCCTGGTGGAAGTGGAAGAGTTTGGCGGCGTCACAGTGGTCGGACTAGGCCCCGCGGCAGGGCAAGGACCCGCTTTTCCAGACCCAGGTATCCGTTCAGGTGGACTCGATCTTGACAACCCCGGACTTTATCTCTGCATCATGGACGTCCACACGTCCCTTCTGCTCGATCTCTAGGTCATCTTTCCCATCCCGCCGCCATCGACAAGCCATCGACATTGCGGCCCCTCGCCCAGCCAAGCTGCAGCCTGCAACAACCCCCCCTCGCATCCATGCTTTGCTGCTGTGACTTTTCGATCAATCACATTGTGCGACTTCCAATGCACGCTGTTTCCTCCGTCCCTTGGTGCATCCTGCGCCGCCGTCCTTCAACCCCATGCCATGCCGACCTCCATGCTTTCCCCCGACTGGCGCATGGCCTGGTCTGGTCCTCCATGTCCCATCATCACCCGTCATCTCTCCCTCTTTGCCTCATTGAGCAACGGCCGACTTGCCAAACGTGCCAAATTTCCTGCCGAATCGCCTGACATGGCATTCCAAATCGAGGGGGCTCGAGTCTGTAGGGGCGCCGGAGTTGCCAGGGGTCTAGGCCCAAAGGGTTTAAGAAAATCTAAGGGTCCAATCCACCACACTCACACCCATGGGCCCAGACGGGGGATGGCCATGATTAAAACCAAAAGGCGCATCGGCGAGCACTCCGCCGCCACAGATTGGCTCTTCGTCTTCGACTCCTTTCTCTGCTCACTGCCTCCACCTGCAATTGTCGTCCCGTCACCTCGACATGACCGTCTTGACTTATCCTTTCCCCAAGCAGCATAACCTACACTAAGTCAAGGTTATCCGCTTATAGTATCACGCTCAAAGGCACACGACACATTTCGAGTACATTGCCTTGCCATACTCGACGCCGTACGCCGCAGGTCCACTCCACATCTCGACGCCGCAAACCTTCTGGGTTGAGCTCTGTTGGCCGTGGACAGCTTGACCCTGCAAGAGAGTCCCATGAGTCCCAGTCAGAGTCCTCAGGAGGTGTCCATTTGAGATCAGGCTGCGTAAACGATTCCGCGCTTCTCCATTCGGAATACTCCCACATCCTGTGCTCCTCTCTCGGCTTTTCCTAAAAACTCTTTCTGTCCTGTTTTGTCCTGTCCCGCAGAGAAGAGGACCCAAAAGCAAGCAAGTACATTACCACTCGATACAGACGATACAAAGAGAACCGATCTTCCTGTCCTCCACACTTTCCCATCTCTTCCCGATCATCTAACCTAAAAGTCGATGCCGTCGGCGCTTGCAGCCTCATCGTCCGACCGCCTAACAATCGCGGCAAGACCCCTGGATTGAGATTTAGCGGCAGCTGCGTCATTCCAATCGGGGCGAACCTAACCTCCCCTCCTGCTCCTGCTCCCGAAAGACACCGGGTCCTGGTCTCCTCTTGCCCTAAGGAACCCTGCCCATCGTCGAAGGCACATCCTTACCCTCCCGTCCCTCGCCTACCTCCCCCCGGTTTTCCATCCGTGCCTGCAGTTCACTTCACTCCTATCTACCTACCTACCTTACATACCTTACCTACCGCATCTGTTCCTCTGTTCCTACTGTGGCGACTCCAGGACTAGTCTACTTTCCAGCTGGCCGGGAACTAAAACAGATCTAACGGCTTCTCTTACGCCATGACTTTGGTCTAGACTTTGTGGCCATCATCACTCCAACAAAACCCACACCTGTCGCTTTCCGTTGCCAGAGGAAGCTCTTGTTTCTCTCATTGTTCATCTCTACACCTCATCAACACCTTCAACAACCCCATTACCGACCATACATTCGCGAAAGTCCATTATAACCGTTCCCCGAGCATCATCGATAGCAACATCTCGTTGGATAGACCTCACGAATCAACACACTAGTAATAGCCCATCATGACGGCTACAAACATCCTTATCTATTTGCTCCGGCACGACCTTCGCATTGCGGACAATCCCATCCTCCACCATCTCGCAACCTCTTCTGATCATGGTTTCACCCATGTTCTTCCTGTGTATATTTTCCCAGCGCACCAGATCGAAATCTCAGGATTTCTACGCGACGGGAGCAAGTCAAAGTACCCAGAGGCACGCAGCGAGATTGGCAAATTTTGGAGATGCGGCCCTCACCGCACGAAGTTCATCGCCCAATCCGTATGGAACCTGAAGGAGTCCCTCGAAGGGGTTGGCAGCGGTCTGTGTTTGAGGGCAGGCATGTTTGGTGACATCGTCGACGAGCTTCTCCGAGGCTTTTCCGACAGCAAGCACAAAGTTGGCGCCGTGTGGATGACGGCTGAGGAAGCCGTCGAAGAGAAGAAAGACGAGATGGCCGTAGCAGCGGCTTGCTCTAAGCATGGCGTCAACTTCAAAACATGGTTGGATGAGAAGTATTTCATTGACGAGTAAGTTGACGGCTTGAGAGTTCGTGGCGGCGATACTGACAAACACCCTTCAGTCGCGACCTAGGTTTGAAGAACCCAGAAGATCTTGACAACGTGTTCACCGCCTTCCGCAAGACCCAAGAACCTCTCCGAGAGAAGCCCAAGCCTACCTTGCCGCAACCCAAAAAGAGCGCAATCAAGCCCTACCCCAAAGACCTCCTCCCTACTCAGAGCTCCCCTTACGAAGTGCCATCGGATGACTACAGCAAGTTGGAATCAGCACTATTGAAACCTCTGACGAGCCCCTTCACCGACGATCTCAAGATTCCCGAGAAAGCAAAGTCTGTTCATCCATTTCACGGCGGTGAGAGTGAGGCACGCAGCCGTCTTCATCATCTCATCAAGTCAGGGGCAATGACCGAGTACAAGAACACGCGCAATGGCCTCCTTGGCGTCGACTTCAGCACCAAGCTTTCAGCCTTCTTGTCTCTCGGCTGTCTCACTTCTCGGCAGATTCACGAGGCTCTGGTCCAATTCGAGGACGGCACCAACGAGGATTTCAAGGAAACATCAGGATACGGAAAGGGAGAGAACGACGGAACCAAGGCGGTCCGATTCGAGCTTCTGTGGCGTGACTACATGCGGTTGTGCACGAGGAAATTCCAGGAGAAGCTGTTTCGCGTTACTGGCTTTAAGGAGGACGATACCCCCAAGTGGAAGACGGCCAACGCTGAGCATGTCATCACCGAGGATAACCTAGGCGCATCCGTCGACGACATCAAGAAGACACTGCAGAGGTTTCTCGAGGGCACCACCGGCATGGGTCTGATTGACGCTTCACAGCGCGAGTTGATCCATACTGGCTACACATCTAACAGAGCTCGACAAAATGTGGCGTCTTACCTTACCAAGCACTTGGGGATCGATTGGCGATACGGTGCCGAGTGGTACGAATACCTTCTCGTTGACTACGACGTGAGCTCCAACTGGTCAAACTGGCAGTACGTCGCCGGAGTGGGTAACGACCCTCGAGGTGACAATCGCATTTTCAACCCCATTAAGCAAGCGTTTGACTATGACAAGGAGGGTGAATACGTGAAGGCTTGGGTCGTGGAGACTCGAGGCCTTGAGAAGCTGGAGAACGTCTTCCAGATATCCACAACGTCTCACGAGGACCTCGAGCGTCTGGGGTTGAGCGACAATCAGATGGTTACAGACCCGGTAAAGAAGATCGACTTCTCAGTTGAGGGTAAGCCAAAGAATGGCCGCCGCCAGTACGCCAACCGCAGAAGAGGGCGTGGAAACCAAAACGGCGGTCATGGCGGAGGAGGACCTCGCGGTCCACCCAGTGGAGGCAGTACCAATGGCGGATACGCACCATCTCCGGGTTCAGCAGGTCAAAATGGCGGTAGCCAGGCAGCGTCACGATCGCCCCCAGATGGCCCTCAAGGATATAGGCCGAACGGCAACTATCGCGGCAACTACCGTGGCAATGGGAGCAGTCGAGGACGAGGTGGTGGCAATGGCTACCGAGGTGGCCGCGGGGGCTACGGTTCCCGCGGAGGCTTCAACAGCCCGTACTATATGCAGCAGGGCCCAACCAGACCTCAGTTTGCCCTCAATCCTACAGCACCTATTTAGGAGACTTCTGTTGCAGCTCATTGCACGGACGACCGGATGAGACGATCTATTTTCAATACCACAGCAAGCATCTATGAGAGAATTTGTGGTAAAGGTTGGCAGTCACGCTTTCAGTCATACGCCACCCCACAAGAAACAGCCAGAGCAAGAGGAATCCTGTCGGATGACTTGTGCCATCGTATTTACTGCTGGCTTTTGGAGATCGAACGAATGTCCCAACCGGGGTATGAAGATGTCGTCCGGGACACGGATGAGGAAACGAGTTGCAGTATGGGGATCCTCTTGTACGACGTGGATCCGGAGTATTTCGATAGGGCATGCATTGAATAGTTGCCAGGATATCGGCATGGGTTACTAAAACGGATGGGTTATTAGACCGGGACGAAGCGTGTTTATACTTTGGAAACTGTACCATAGCACCTGCCGCGACAACAGCGAATACATGAACTTGAGTTGTATTATTTTTTGTACGACATCAACCTTCCTAACTGCGCATGCTGTCTATTCGCTGTAATGACCATGCAAAAAGGCCTTCAACAACTAGACCGACACCCATGACTTCTCCGCAATCGTTGCTCTCAGTGCATGAACCTCTTCTGACCTTGCACGCTGGTCTCACGTCTCTGCTTCACCAGACCAGCTCGAGTCGTTATTAATATAAAACGTAAGAGAGAATCTCAGGGAGCTTACGCAGACCACATACAAAGGCTCAAAGTAGCACAGTATCATCAGTCAATGTCACGATATTCTGACTTGGTTGGCTCTCGAGATCTGAGTTGATGTTGCTCATTACTAGCAGGAATCTTCCACCCAACATGAGCGCAATCTTCCTCCCTCCACCCACCGTCTATACAAATCTACTCTTACAGCATCCTAGCCATGGGGAATCTTTGTCCAAACACATTGCCCCCCTCCAAAAGAACGCCAAGAAACCACCACACTCTCTCTCTAGCTCAGAACCTCTTCCCCAGAGGCTTAACATCCACCCCCTTCGGCACAACAAACAACCCCTTCGCCTCAAGCGCAATCTCCCCATCGGGCCCCTCCATGCGCCCGCAGATCCACAGCTTGCGGTCCGTCTTGTCCTCGCCGTCCGGCCCCTTCTGCAGCTCCGGCAGCACGGCGTGCACGCGCACCTTGTACAGAAACCCAGGCGTCACGGGCTCCTTGAAGTCCATGGCCAGCTTCGCCGTCACGGCCGTGTTCGCCGAGAAATTCAGCGCGGCCAGGCGGCCCATGGCCTCGTCCATGATGGTGCTCAGCATCCCGCCGTGCACGACGCTCGGCCAGCCCGAGGTGCCCTGCCCGAAGACGACTGCGAGGATGAGCTCGCCCGTCAGCCGGTGGCGGAAGACCATGTGCACTAACCCCAATGCGTTCGGGTTGTTCAGCGTGCCGGCGCAGAGGTGCGTCTTGCGGTGGGACTCGGAGAAGTCGGCGTAGGGCTCCCAGTGGTCCCAGTCGGTTGGCCGGACGGTGATTTTCGAGCCCGAGACGGAGACGGCGGCGGGGACCAGGGCGTCCAGCCCCGGGTCGGAGGCGAGGGCTTCATAGGTGGCTTGTTGGCGGTAGAGCGGGATGTCTTCAGGCTCGTAGTCGGCGGGCGGGTAGAGGAAGGGCGTGACGAAGCGGATGGAGGCGAGTTGGTCTGCGGTGAGCTTGTAGCCTGCGAGGAAGAAGAAGAGGGCCCAGAGGGCGCGGCGGAGGAGGATCGAGCGGCGGGACTGCGGGGGAGGGGCGGGTGGTGTTGGTGTGTTGTTGGCGGAGAGGAGGGCGGTGATTTGCGAGGGGGAGAGGTGGGAGAGGTTCTGGAGGGCGGCGGAGGCGGCTGCGTTTTGAGGGGGCTGCTGGGGAGGTTGTGGTGGTGGGATTGGCTTGAGGAGGGAGGGTCTGGTTGTCGTGAAGGGGCGGAGGAGGGTGGTGGATGGGCGCGGGGACCTGGTAAGGTCGCGCAGGAGGCGGCGGGTCGGTGTTCTTGGTATCATTTTGGCGGTTGGTGTGTGGTTCGTGGAGGAGGTAGGTGTGCGCTGCGGCGGGGCAGCGTTGGGAGCTGCGCGATGCGATGAGGGCGGCGCAAACGGGAGCGAACTGGCGATGGTGAATTGTTGGAGGTTTAATTTGAGGTTTGGTGGAGCTTCCAATCCGGTGTAGCTCGGTGAAGCATTGACGCGGTGCACGGACGCTTTCCTGGGGCTGGGGGCCGTGATGTCACCTTTGACGTGCGATCAGACGAAGCAATCCTTCAATCACCACTGACATGTCACTTTGCGGATTGAGCCATGTTGTGTTGACAACTTTTATGTTTTGGCTATGAAAATGGCCTGCTAATCGATGCGTCTAATGCCATGGATACAAAACTGCTAATGTGAAGAAGAAAAAGGGCCCCAAACTCAAGCCGCCATCAGCGTGCTCCAAGCAACCCAAACCCGTCGCGACTTGGGCACAGTGGCCCGTCCCGTTCCGTCCGCCGCCGCAGCATTGCCGTTGCGGACCAGCACGCGGCCAATCTCCATGTAACTCTCCACGGCGACGACCATGGGGCCGCGCGCCTCCGAGGGAATCCACTTCATCGACTCCCTGGCCTCGCCGTAGTGCTCGAACGCCTTTGCGAGGATCTTGCGCCGCGAGTTGGCGACGCCCTCGACGCCCTCGCTGCGCGGGTCCCTGAGGACGTCCTCCGGCGAGAGACCCTCGTCCTTGAGCCAGGAGGTGGGGAGGTAGACGCGGCCGATCTTGGCGTCGACGGCGATGTCGCGGGCGATGTTGACGAACTGCAGCGCGAGACCCATCTGGCGCGCCGTGTTGCGCAGGTAGGCTTGCATGTACGGCGGCAGGGAGTGTTTGCAGTGGCAGAAGACGAGTTCCAGACAGGACTGTCCTACGGTGCTGGCGACGCGTGCGGCGTAGAGCTCGAGGTCTTCCGGGGTTGCGATGGGGAAGCTGTTCGTGCTGAACTGGAGGTCCATCTCGAAGCCCTTGAGGAGCTCTGCCAAGGGCTCCCGGGGAATGAGGTTGGCGGGCAGTAGGTCCAGGGCGGAGAGGGCTGACGCGGGAAAATTCTCTGCCGCATACTGGGAGGCGAGAGGGGCCGAGGAGGAGTCTGGATCTTTGTAGAGCAGAGTCAGGTGGCGGTCGAGCTTGGCAATCCAGATGGCTGCTTCTTGAGGGTTTGCTGCTTCATCAACAAGGTCGTCGGCTAGGCGGCAGTAGGAGTAGCTTAACTTTTGTTAGTGATGATTCGATCGTGCGAGGCAGTTAACTTACAGCAGAGTCAGGTCAATGCGCAGACGGCCAGGGAAGACAGAGCTGGCGAGATGAAAGCTGCGGCTCTTCTTTGCCAGTCTGCCCACTGCTTGGCGGATGCCCAGGATGCGCTGCATGTTGTACTTTGACGAGGGAAGCACCCTGGCGCGCAGCAGAGACATGGATAAAGCATCGGCCGGCTTGTCAAAGATGTCGGGAAAGGCATCGCAGACGGCAACGGCCTTGTCAAAGGCACCGATACCAGTAACAACGAGAATGTTGGTCACCAGAAAGAAGACAGCTTCCTCAATCTCCAAACTGCCAAAGAGCTTGAACTCAAGCTTGGTGCCGCTCTCAATGGCCCAGGTACCACGTCCTAGCGCCATCTCGTCGACTACCCAGAGGTAGACCGTGGGAAGGATCACGGGGAGGACGGTGCATGCCAGCGGCAGCGCCAGAAGGAACTGGGCGGTGATGGTCCAGATGAAGAGGGCGAAGGAGCACGCCCACACGAGGATCAAGCCCAGATACGTTCCCTCTCCCTCCTTGGCGATGAGCCAGGCACCAAGCGCAATGCTGCCGGCGAGAACGCCCTGGCCGACGGTCTTTCCACTCTTGATCCATTTGGGCAGGGTGGCTGGCGAGTTGAGGTACTGAGCGTGCAAGACGGGCTTGTTGAGGATGATGTAGAGCTGTGCCGTGATGTAGGTCTGGATGATGAAAAAGAAGAGCTCCTCGAGGGGGATGCTGAAGAGAGTAGGGCCGAGGATGGCGTTGGGCGGGTAAGTCCAGATGCCGGTTCTGATGAGATATGAGTCCCAAGGGATGGTGGCCACGAAGGCGATGGTGACGATGAAAAGCGTCTTCACGACATCGAGGCGGGTGAAGAGCGGGTATGAGAAGAAGGTGAGAAGCCCTGCTAGAGGGATGGTGTACTTGATGTGCCTGAAAAGGTAAGTGAGGGCGCCTTGCAGGACCTGCTCGGAATGACTTACACCAGCGCGTAATCGTAACCCATCTCGGACTGTTGTGAGAATTCTTTATTTCAGAGGTGAAAAAGCCCTCATAGAGGGCAAGCACGACGGCCGTGAGGTGATCGGTGGGCGATTAATGAATGTGTTTCTTCAACGGCTCCCACAGCAGCCGTACCTTCCGTGGACGGTCCGGGAAGAAATGCAAGGCACTCCAGTGTAGGACAGGTGGCTGAGTTGAGAAATCAGATGGCGGCAGGAGTCAAGGCAATGACGAAAAACACACGCATGTGTGAGTGGGATGTGGCCTGGTGTAAAATGACCCACGCGGGCTGCCGGTTTCACTTGTTTGTCTTGTTGGTAAACCCGTGGATTTCACCGTTGTGCTTGCCTTACACCGGGCAAAGGAAGGATCGGCTGGTCCAGCGGTCGGAGCTGGTGAATTGTCCCGAGCCGCAGATAAAAACCATCCAGAAGAAGACGTGTCGTTATCTCTCCGGAGCGTTTCTCCGCTGAATGTTTCTCGGCCCTCGGACTCGTCTTGGTTTTCGAGACCGAAGGGAGGAGAGGGCGCGGACTTTGGGAGGACTGTTGGACGGGTAGGCGAGCTGGTTAGCCCGGGTTGATAGAGCTTCTTTCCGGATTCGGATAAAGGGCGCGCGCAGGATTGGGCGGGAACCTTGGAAGGATCAATCAAAAAAGGGGACGCCAAGGTAGGGATGGCAAGGCTTGGGACGTTCGAATTGTTGAGGTGAGCTTGCTGCAGCTGCAGGAGGCTAAGGTGAGGTAAGGTGCAGGTGGTTGGATTGGCTGGAGTGAGTGAGCTGCGGGTGTGCGTCGAAAAGAAACAAAGTCTATGACGACCATATGCGCGTCGGATAAAAAGATGGGATTCTTGGGCTTTCCGTCCAACCCTCGTCCAGAATCTTTGTGTGTGATCGCGTCCCAAAGATTTTCGTTAGTGCCCGGCGGGAGGAAGCATTGATTGAGCTAGAGATGAAAAAGCCCCAGCGAGAGAATGAGGACTAATTATTTTTGAAGGCAGGACTAGGCCAACGGTAGTGTCAAACGTGGCAGGAGAGCGAGTGAGACAGGTCGCGGTTGCGAGGAACGTACACCGAATTGCGGGTGGGCGCTCTTTTGTTTTTGTATGAGACCCCCCCAAAAGGTGAGCTGAGGGTGAATCATTACGCTCCAATTACCAGCCCAGTCTCGGGTGTTCAATTGTTGTGAACGTGACGGCGAGAGGGGAGCATTGGCCGTCTCAAGTGTCCTAGAGCGGGATACTTTCCCTCAGGTCTCCAACGGCATTGATGGGCCGAATGGACGCACCGATCAACGAATACGATATATCGATATCGCGATGCACCACCTCCACCTGGACATTGCCCAATGTCACACACACACACCTCACCTTAGCACACACCTTACCCAACTTGAGCTTCCCAGGGGGCCATAGCTCCCACACGCCGACGCCACTCCCTGCCGTTGGCGCCGCCAGGCCTCAACCTTGGTGTTCTTGGTGCCGGAAGCTTGCCGGTTCTGCGGATATGTGCCTGAAATCGGGTCTGCAAAGAGTTTACGCAGTAGTAGTTGAGTGGCTGTTGGGTCGTGTACCTGGATGCTCCATCTGCCAAGTGCAACGTCGTCAACCTCCTCCGAGTCGAGGTGTCATCACTCTTCCGCACCGGCCGATGCGGACCCCGTCCTCGTGCGATCTCACCCCTGCCCGTCCCGTGGCTTTTGTGGACCCCCAAGGCATGCGAAGGGATTGACTAGGTTGTCTCTTCACATGTTTCGGTGTCAATGACGGGACAATTATCTACTATGAATGTCACTCGAGGCCCATCTACCATGCTAGCCCAATCTCTCAATGCAAGCTCTCATCGTGAGCATGTGAGCGTGTGTTGACTTCCCCTCTCATCTACATCTGTATAATCTCGGTCAATTATCTCATCTAACTGCCCCAATCACTCTCAAGATATCTAACCAACCACTGAAATGCCCTCCCTCAGTGAGAAGCCCAAGACGGCCATCGTCGTCGGCGCCGGCGCCGGCGGCGTAGCTCTCGCCGCCCGCCTCGCCAAAGCAGGCTTCTCCGTTACCGTCGTCGAAAAGAACTCCTTCACCGGCGGCCGCTGCTCCCTCATGCACCACGAGGGCCACCGCTTCGACCAGGGGCCCTCCCTCTTCCTGCTCCCCCAGCTCTTCCACGAGACCTTCCGCGACCTCGACACCACCATGGCGGACGCTGGCGTCGACCTGCTGCGCTGCGAGACCAACTACAACATCTGGTTCCACGACGGCGAGCTCTTCCGCCACTCCTCCGACCTCGCCGCCATGAAGTCCCAGATCGAGCGCTGGGAGGGCAAGGACGGCTTCGAGCGCTACCTGCAGTGGTTGCGGGAGGCGCACACCCACTACGAGGTCTCGGTGCGCGAGGTGCTGCACAAGAACTTTAGCAAGCTTGTCAATCTGGCAAGGCCGCGGTTCGTGAGGCATGTGGTGTCGCTGCACCCGCTGGAGAGCATCTGGAGCAGAGCGAGCCGGTATTTCTGGACCGAGAGGTTGAGGAGGGTGTTTACCTTTGCTGTTATGTACATGGGCATGTCTCCGTTTGATGCGCCGGCGACGTACTCTCTGCTGCAGTACACCGAGTTTGCGGAGGGAATTTGGTATCCCCGCGGTGGCTTCCACTCGGTGGTCGCAGCGCTGGTTCGTATTGGTGAGAGTCTGGGGGTGAAATACCGTCTCAACACGCCGGTATCAAAGGTCTTGACAGACGGCCAGAAGGCGACTGGTGTCATTCTCGAATCAGGGGAATCACTCACAGCAGACGTCGTGGTCGTGAATGCCGACCTCGTCTACGCTTATGGCAACCTCCTCCCTCAAACTCCCACAATAACCAACTACTACGAGTCGCTGCAAAAGAGGGAGCCAAGCTGCAGCTCAATCTCCTTCTACTGGTGCCTTGACCGCAAGGTCCCCGAGCTGTCCACGCACAACATCTTCCTGGCGGAGCAGTACCAAGAGTCGTTCGACGCAATCTTCAAGCGTCACTCACTTCCCGATGAGCCCAGCTTCTATGTCAACGTCCCGAGCCGCGTGGATCCCTCCGCGGCGCCCGAGGGCAAGGACACCGTCATCGTCCTCGTGCCAATCGGCCATCTCTCACGCTCAAAGAACGACGACGGGCTGACGACGGATGAGAAGGACTGGGATTCCATCGTTTCCAAAGCCCGTTCCATGATTCTCTCAATCGTCAGCGAGCGCACAGGCTGCCCGAACATAGGCGACATGATCACCCATGAGATCGTTAACACGCCCCTGACGTGGGAGGATAAGTTCAACCTCGACAAGGGCGCAATTCTCGGCCTTAACCACGGCTTCTTCAACGTCTTGGCCTTCCGCCCGAAGACGCGTGCAGAGGGGCTGGAGAATGCTTACTTTGTGGGTGCTAGCACGCATCCCGGAACCGGTGTGCCTATTGTGCTGGCGGGAGCCAAGATTACGGCAGAGCAGATTCTAGATGACCGCAGGCTGGAGGTTCCATGGGCCCGGGGTTTCAACGGCATGTTGCAGCCGCAGTCGGCGTCACCGGGAAACAAGAAATTGGATACGGTGCGGTATGGTTTCCACTTTGGATCAGAGGAGGTAGCTATTCTGCTAATTGGGTTGTTCTTGGCAATTGGTTATTTTGTCATGTTGCCGACTGTTCAAAGCTACGTTTGCTAGAGATAGGGTGCTGAAAAGGGTTGGTTGATAGTCAACTTATTTGCCTTGACTATGTTAGGTCTGCCATCGTGTTAGGAAACGTCTCCGATCCTTCAGAATGCTAATTGACATGATCGAGGACACGCAGCGGCTGTGAAGTGTGGAGATGGTAATTGCTCACAGTCTTGGAAGACACAATCTGTACAAGACGCACAAGTGACAACAATACTTGTAGGCGAACCCACACATGTAGTACGGCATAATTTTCACACAATGGTCAACTCCTTGAACTTGATCCCCCGAGCTGCCAACCTTTCTGGAGTAAGACGAGGGTCGTATACTGACCATGGACTATCAGGTCCTTCTCTATAGTCAAAGAACCCATCGGCATCAGGCTCTGATCGCTCCCAGCCAGGGGGCAACTCCCCAAGACGAGGGTCTTCGATCTGCCTGCGACCGTTAGGGTCGGTGATGACCAATGCCATGTTACGAGTCCTTCTGAACCGCATATTCCATCCGTCCGGGAGTTGTCCAAGCAAAGCTTCGCGACGCATCACACTCGGCATGAAACACGGTCCTACGACTCTATATCTCCCGCCTCTAATAGGCCTTAGGATGATCGGAACGGCCTCCCCTAACAAAACATAAATTTCGTCTCCTATTTGGGCAGTTCCTACTGCTCGTGCGAACCTACCATCTGCAGTTGTCGCAAGTAAGTTGCCGCAGATGGCAAAATCTATAAAGTCACTCATCAAAAGCCTTTCGGTTCTTGGATTCCGAGGTTCTTTGGGAGAAAACCATTCGATACCGCGGAGTAGAACATCTTTCACCTCCGACAAAGTCCAGGTGGTATCGACATTGTTGCCTCGGATGTCACCTAGTGAAATCGTGCACACGAGCTCATCAACCCAAGCTTGGCTGAAAGGTTGAGTCCTGTTGTAAGATGCATCCCGGATCCAAGATTTGATGATTGCGAGGCAGGTGGTTGGTATAACCTTCTGCGGCATTACTGAAGATGAACATCGACTGATAGTGCCGCAATAGATACCAAGGGCTTTACATGAATCATCCGATAAGATATTGCGCTGGGGCTGGGAATGTAAGGCAACGTTCCCAGTACGCCAGTAATGAATTTGAGGGATTCGTTTCGCAAAGTCCGGCACCCAAGTAGGATGAGTCCAAGTGATATCATCCGCCGTATCGCATAAAGCGAAGGTCCCGGTGTTCATGGTTGATTGCATGTAATTTCGGGAAAATTCTGTATAAACGTCCCGATGGTCCTTATAGTAGTTGGGTTCGATCTGGAAATCTTTTCTATGAAGACCCAAGATGCCGTACATCTTGTCTCGTGGATCTAGACATTCGCATTCATTAACAAGATCGAGGGTCATAATGATGTGTCGGTTTTCACCGTAAGTGTACGTAGACCAAGCCTTGCTCAACAATCCGTCAAAATCTTGTCGTTTTTGCTCATTCAAGACTTCGAAATGGGGCAATCCAATATGCATTAGGTAGCCGGCGGCGCCGCAGTAGTCGTTCCAGGTGAATTCTTGCTTCCCTATCATGAAGATAGCAGCTCCTTTTGCGAGAATGATCTTTTGTTTCACCCAAAGCCTCTTGAACCAAGGCAGGTCAAAAAAGTCGTAGAGAGATTGCCAGTCCAGAAGTTGAAAGGGCATCGGTGCCCGACTGCGAGCGAGTAGTTCGGCGGTATCAGAACGCTGCTTACACGTGCGTGCGTCCAAGTCGTAGTAGAAAATGGATCCCAAGAACTTCGTCAACTGTACCGCTCTGTATAAACCGTCGGTTTCTCGCCCAAGCCAAACAACAACTCTTTTGGCGCGGCTGTAGATCTCCCCCATCCCCCGAACCTGGACTCCGCGCTCTTCGACGTCGTTCTGGTTGATGCATATGGCGTCGCACCAAATGGTACGAGTTTCGAATGGCTGTCGGAGATGCCGGAGGGCCGATTCCAGGTTTTGGCCGATTTTCAGAGTCTTGACTTCGGCTGAGCTGCTTTGACTGGAACACTCAAGGACACGGAATGACTTCGGATCGGTTTGGCTTCCCCAAACATATGAGAGGGCCTCGTAACTGAACTCGCAGTCCGGCTGATCAAGATGCTCATGAGAGATGTATCCTTGAAGTGGGGAGTCGAAGTCTCCAGGTAACAGGATGAGCATTCGACTTTCTTCTGAAGCCAGGGGCTTGTACTCGTATTCCGACTGGGCGAATGAGTTGATGGTTGATGGTGCTGGATGCAATACCAGACGTTGCTGAGGGGACTCGGGACATTTTCTCAGGCAGTTGCCCATATTCAAAGATCGATGAAAGCTTCCAAGGTTGGCAGTTTTGCTTTGAAATGCAACAACGAAGCAGGCACCACGGGCTGCTGGTGGACGGCGGGGTGGTTTGGTCTTCTTAAAGAAGGCAGCTGGTGGTCAGCAACACTCCACCGCCAGGCGCTTAGCCGCTTTGATTGGTCGAACGCCATGGAAATGCGATGATACTGTCGTGCAACCTGGGCTACTGAATTGGAGGCCCTCAGAGCCTTGTACTTTGCTGTGCTCTTGAACGGCACGTCGGAGGCATTCATTGGACGACATATCTGCAGGAAACGCGGAAGTAAACCGCAAAGCGGCGTTAGCGGCGAGCGTTTCTCCACACGGGGAATGCTTCTCTGCTAAGCCTCGCCCGACTAAATCCATTTCGAAGGAAGTCGGATATTCTAGAGACAGCTGAGTTGGAAGGACTGCCGCAATTCGTTCCAGCTTGACATTTCCCTCCCCACACGATGGGATTCAGGTGGCTCGGTGATCTGCGGATCAACTCAGGAGCTAACGGCTTCCACTCTTCCTTTGAAAATGTTGCAAACATTTGCGACTTGATGACCTAGTCTATGAAAGACCTCCTACGGTTGCTTTCCCGAAAGCGATTTTCCTTACTCAACAATTTGATATTCGATCCCCGAGGGGCTTACGGGACTAGGTGCGAGCTTTGAGAATTGCTCTGATAAATCGACTGGCAAATTCATGTCATCGCTCCCACCCACAAATTTCTGCCCAAAATCAGTCGTCTCAAGATGACACAAGGTACTAAGTCTTCTTTGAAATAGAGACGAAGTGAAGCTCGCTGCTCCCCTAATGTCATCGTAGAGGATCCTCGCCAGTCAGGAAAGATTTGTCGTAAGCGGGTACTTCTGGTTTCAGACCTTATAAAAGTTCTATGTTCAGCAATGAAATGCACTCGTCTTATGCACATGTTCCAATCTAAAGACCACATTCATTGGCCTTATACAATAAGAACGCAAAATATTGACAATCCTTATACGGTCAGTCAAGGGTCTTCAGCGGCCCAACCCATTGGAACGTTGGGTGTTGCCCTTCATCGTCGGACGGACGTCCCCTGAATGTTCAGCGACATACACGCACAAACCCTTGGATCTCTAATGGTAGACGCGAATGGTAGACTGAGAAGCCCAATCTGTGCCATCAGTCATACCTTCTGAATCTGCTGTACGTCACAGGATGCTGTGCAAATTGCTACTGCGATACAAGACACAGAAGGCTGCTGTATCGGTCTCAATATATAGCATACAGCCACCTTGCTGAAGCCTCCAATGGCATCAACGACGTTTTCTGATCGCTGCGTATATATCTGGGAGAATTCGCCAGAAGGCACGGGGTTCACACAAATCTTGCCGAGCACCATACCATCATGTTGCTTAGCCAGCTGTGCGCTCAGAACGGCAGCTTGAAGCCCACTGGCGAAGAGTATGAAGCCCTCAGTCGAGGCATTGCGAATCTGCCATCAGTTTTGTTGCTCATTCTCGACCTAGGTAGGATACATGGAAGAATCATCATATTCAGCAAGCCAAGTGTCACCCAACGACTCTTCGAGGATCTTCACCTCTACAACGACTGAAGCTGTGTGCCTCAGAGTGACTACACGAAAGGGAGTATACGCGAAATTGCCTGCAAACGCCCCGGGCAAACGTTTTCAAAGCTTCTTAAATATGTTCAAATCACAGTCCCCAAGTCTTTGGTCAGCATTAGCAGCGATGGCTAATCCTGCCGACATACATCCTTCACAGCTCAATTCCCTTACATAAGGTATTGTAACCTCTCGAATGCGAAGTCGCTCTTTCTGTCCTCAAGTACTAATAATGTGTGAGGGAAGAACAGTCAGAAGAATTGTTTCTGGCTTTGGAACCTCCCAGGTCGGAATAATGCCTTACACACTAAGGCCGTCATGTAAAGGGTCTCATACGCAGTCATCCGTCACATCTGTCAGTACCTGAGTTAACAGAGGGGAATACTAAAGCCTAGACGAAGATAGATGTAGACTTGATGAGCCTCCGCGTGAAGGCCAACGGGATCCTCCTCCATCAAAGTGCAGTTGCACCATACCGGAGCGCTGTACGACCATCAAACATTGCCTACTTCGCCCCCGTCATTGCATCGATCAAAAGGATCCGCAAAAAGTCCATCAATTGAAAAGATATAAGTTCTATGAGAAGCCCAACTCCGCGATGAACGTGACTCCCCATGTCTGAAGCCACCTTCTTACAGTGTTCATCACCTCTCTATCCCACAAAGACAACACACCCATCGTACACCACCCCTTGAACGGCCCCTCGAACGACCACCTCACAACTTGGCCTTCGGTTCGTCCTTCTCAGCATCTTCCTCCTGCTTCAATCTCACAACGCCCTACGCTCAAGTCAGCAATTTGTCACATCTCACACATCACCACGGAAATACTCACCTCCTGCACACAAGTAGCCAAAAGCGTCCCATCCCCCCCAAAAATCTTCTGCAACACCACTCCCCTGCCATCCCCGGCCCACGGACTCTCCATCTCCGTAAACATCCACTCATCCGCCCTCACCCTCCTCGGCTCATGGAAGTAAATACTATGATCCAAGCTCACCATCATGCCCAGATGCGGCCTCGTCTTCCAGTACTCCACCCCGCCCTCCGTGTTCCCCTCAAACTCGTTCAACCGCTCCACCTGCTCCCTCAACTCCGGCGGCAGCTCCTCAAACTCCTCCGGCTTGAACGGGAACCGCCACAACCTGTGAATCCGCCCCACCGTCCCGATGAAGTAGCTGTCCGACATGTACGCCAACGCATTCAGATGCGCCTGATGCCCTCCACTAACACTAATCTTCCCCCTTGCCCTCACCCAGTTCCGGCTCTTCATCTCATGCGGCGCCGGCTCCTCCCCATTCTCCCCCTTCGTCAGCGTCGTCTTCGCAGGCTTCCCATCCGGCCCGACCATCGAGATCCGATACGTCTGAAAAGGCGAGTGCGTGCTCCACTCCGGCTCGCCCCTCCAATCCGCCGGCGGCGCCCTCACCCCCGCCGGCAGCGGCGCCGCGTGCCGCACCTGCGTCTCCCCGCCCGCGCCCTCCTTCACAAACGACACCGTCGTCGTGAAGATGCACCGGCCCCGCTGCCGCGCCTGTACCGTCCGCGTGGCGAAGCTGCGCCCGTCGCGCACGCGCTCGACGTGGAACAAAATCGGTATCTCCGAGGACCCGGCCAGCAGGAAGTAGCAGTGGCACGAGTGCACGAAGAAGTCGTTCGGCACCGTCTTCTGCGCCGAGGCGAGGCACTGCGCGATCACGGCGCCGCCGAAGATGCCGCGCGCGCCGGGCGGGTGCCATGGCTGGCGCGTGTTGGTGAAGATGTCCTGCGTCGGCGTCAGTTGTCCGGTACCAGAGATGGAGGGGGGAAGTAGCGAACTCACCGGCCCCAGGACGCCCAGCTCCGTCACCTCCAGCACGTTCTCGATCGGGCTCTTGTTCGGGTCCTCCGGCGGAGGCCTCACAATCGTCGAACGCCCGGTTGCCATCTTGTGTGTGTTCCGTCTAAGTCTGGATTTGTATCGTTTGCTACCGCGCCGTCTGCCGTCTAGATCCCGAGTCTAAAACCGAACCTCGACGTGGCGTTTCGTGCCGTCTTGAAACGCCCCCTGAGAAACCAAGGCAAGCTCGCCTGTGACCGCTGTATGAGACTGAAAAAGGATGAATGAGATGCGACAATCGATAGGTGAGACCCGCGAACCTGGTTGACAAGTCACAGGGGTGGGTTAAAAGAGATGCAGCAAGGCGGTTCTTCCCCCCCTAATTATGTAGCATTCAGGGAACGAAAAAACTGCCGAGGTCCAAGGTGGGGAAATAAAACAAGGTTGTCACTGCCAGCACGACCGCGAGGTAAGGTACCCGCGAGCCGTGGCTTCGGTACGTACTTACCGGCGGCGTGCACCACCCCCGGTCCGGGATTCGGTGAGTGGAAAGGTAATCATTTAATCTCGTCGATCTCAGCCTGCTGTGCTGCATGCCCCGTCACCGTCCCGAGTCCCGACGGTATCACAAGCTTCTTGGCAGGTGGGCAGAAATGTTCCCCAGGTGTAGAACGCGGTTCCAACGTCTTCTTCGTTCGCACTCGGGAGCAGATGAGACGGCAGCACAAAACCTCCCATTCATGTGGCATATGTCCGTCCGAACACCAATCACAGAACAGCAAACTTTGCGAATGCGCATCTTCCAGAATTGTTGCCGAATGCGAGCGATTGCTTATTTCAATACCTGTAGTACTATCCACGATACACTAGTTGAACAACCATTCCCAAGCATGGTGGTTCACCATCCCACAGCGGCAGGATACCGGATGCCATACGGCTGCAACGTCTGCGACGGGGGTGCTGGCTGACGTTCGCCCTTCTTCTTTGGAACACTTTTCGGAACACTCTTTGGAACCCTCTGCGTGTTGCCACTCTACTGCGCATCTTCGTAGATGGGTTCCAATCCGTCCCAGGCGGCCTTGGGATCTCCCTCTGGTCCTGCCTTCTCTCTCTGCTCCCAGTACTTGCCATTGAACTTCCAGTACTCCTCGCCCGTGATCTCGCACGTCGTCTTTTCGAACCACGCGGGGTGGAACTCGATGCCATTCTCCTCGCGGTGTTTCCTGCGTGCACGTTGTGCCACCTCGAGGCGATCCTTCTCCTCAGCCGCATAGTCGTACTCGCCATCCTCCATGGCGCGCTGGTCTGGACGCAGACGCGAGTCGGTAGGCGCGATCCATGGCCGGAGCTTGTCGTCGATGTGGTTAAACGTAAGAACAAAGGGAGTGAGGTTAAATGGGATGTTGGGCGGGCGGGGGTTGGCCTGCCAGATGAGGAACGCCTTGTTCGGGTCATTGAGGCTACCCTTTCCAATGGACGCCGCATCGCCAGGGTCATCGACGTTGGCCTCGTATCCCGGTGAGAAGCGAGCGTACAGCTTGGAGTTCCATCTGCCTCCAATGCTGTATCGCACCCTGCCATCGGCGTCAAGCACCTTGCCAGTGACCTTATACGCGCTGGAAGCCTTCCAACCGCGTGGTACGAACTCCATCTGACATACCTCACCCGTCGTGTGGTTCTTCACTTCCATGGGGCCATAGTTGTCCAAAGTCGGGTTGCCGGTGATGATGCCAATGACAGACGATGTGACCTTCTTCCAGGTGTAGAGGTCTTCCTTGCCTCCAGCTGTAGGACGCAGCTTGAGGAACCACGTTCCCAGAGGGTTGGCGTCGAAGGACTTTCCGTAAAACTTGGTCTTGACAGCTGACTCTCCATAGTAGGTCCACTTAGGGGACTCGGCCCACGCGGCACCAACAGGCGGGTGATGGCTGACTTGTTCGATGAAGAAGCGGTAGTTCTTGTCCGGGCGGACGTATTCGAACGTCTCTCCGAGGAGGGGGTTGAAAGGCTTCGCGACACGCCCAATCGTCGATGCGTACTCACTAGCGGCAAATGCTGCCACGTAAAGCAGACGCTCAATCGAGTCTGAACGCTCCGCGGCTTGGTCCAGCAGGTCAACATACTCCATATCCTCACCGGCACGGTACAAGAGCGAGGTTGGCTCGTTGAAAGATACCGGCAGAGTCATCTTGGTCATGTCCTTTCCAATCATTGACTTGAGAATACCCTGGCTATTGTTAGTTGAGGTCACTATACTGCCATCAGTCTACTCACCCAAAGCGAAATCTTGGGCCGGTTATCGGCGTCCATCTTGAGTTTGGTTCTGATGCCATTCTCGTAGCCCTTGAACGAACTGCTAATATCCACGCCGCTAGAGACAACAAGCTGTTGTTGCTTTTCCTCCTGAGGAGACGTCACGGCCTCGGATGGCGGCAGCTCGCTGACTTCAACCTCTCCAGCATCAACAGCATCGAAGAACTCGTCCTCCTCTTCAGACTCCGAGTCAGAGAGAACGATTGCCGACTTCTTTCTATTGAGATTCCTCTCGGGTGACTTGGGCGCGACCGCGAGGTCATCGTCGGTTCCAACAGCTGCCTCAACATTCGTCGTGCCATCCACAGGCTCCTTCTGGTTAGCACCAGCAGGCGAATCGTTCATAACCTCGCGAAGGGCCCGCTTGGCGGCCTTGCGCCTCTGCTCGGCTTGGTCAACACGCTCCTCCAGGATCTCCTGCTCCTTGGCTACCTTGGCCATGCTCTCCTCCCACATGCGGCGCATGTCGGTTTCGCGCTCCAAGCGGTATTGCCAGTATGCGTCGCGGTCCTTTGAGATGCGCATGAGGTCTCCGACAAGCCCCGTCAGGCTCCTAACTGCGGCGTCGTATGTTGACAGCGCCTGCGCAACCTTTGCGTCGGACACCGTGGTGTTGGGATTCTTGGAGGCTTCAGCGAGCATGGCGGCGTTGACCGCTGAGATTGTGTCGAGCTGGAGCTTGGCGGACTGGGCCGTGATGTTGAAAGCGTCCTTGCTGACTGTGGGCTCCTCGCGACTACTGACATCCTCAAACTCATCATCATCGTCGTCATCGTCTGGGTTGTGGTGGCCGTTGCCAGCAGCCCGTGACATTCCCGCATCCGTGGCGGCGTCGGCGAATTCTTCGTCGTCGGCAATGGTGCTGGCCCCTGCAAATTCGCTCTTCGGTACCGACATCTTGGTGTGCGATTGGGATCTCGGGATTTGCACACTGCTTCTTCTCGTGTCGGCAACGCTGGCGCTTTCACTCGGCGCCTCGTTGATGGAAAGATCGGATGCCTTTCCGGCCTGTTCAGCCTTTGCTTGCCTCAGCAGCTCGGCACCACGGGCGCGCTGCCGTTCCTCCTCCTTGGCCTGATCCTTGGTCCATTGAATCGAGTTGTTCAGAGCCCAGAACCACCGCTTAGCCTCAACCTCGTGGTTGGCCTTCAAAGTGTACTTGACCGATGACTTCCCGATAATCTCGAACTTGGTCTTCTCGTCGGCGCTCATGTGTAGCTTGGCAATACGGGTGTTGATCGCACCACGGCAAGCGGAGCCAGCATCGTCCTGGTGCTTGTAGTAACTAAGTACGCCGTCTTCGAGGACGAACCATCGAAGCTGGTATCCCTTGCGGTAATTGGTCCACTTCTTCAGGTAGCCCTTCATCTCGCGAGCCTCGCGGCCTGCCACCGGATCTCCAGGGGCGGCAGTCCCGGCGCCCTGCGACGCTGCCTGGCCGAGGACGGCCTTCTCCTGGATACCCCTCTGGGCCGCTACAGCGGCAGGAGATCGCTTGAGCATTGCCCTCGTAACATCGTCCTTCGTAACATCCTGTGGCAGCTTGCCCTTGCGGTCTCTGCGGAAGGGGTCCGCGCCGTGGAGGAGAAGTACCTGGATCAACTGGGTATTCTTCTTCCGCGCAGCTTCGTGGAGGAGGGTGCCGCCAGCCTGGACAGTCGTGGGTTCGGTCGCGAATTCGGTGCTGTTGATATCGAGGATCTGCTTGAGGCGGGGTTCTTCAAGAACGTTCTCCAACGCCTTGTAGTCGTTTTGGGCAATCAGACTCTGGATCTGCCTGACCTTGTTCTCGGCAAACAGCGACCGCGAGAGCTGCAGCTGCTGGAAGATATCCGGGTTGCGAGCGACGTCGATGGGCAGCTGGGCTTTGTAGTTGGCGACAGCGTCGTTGATGTCCTTCTGCTCGAGCAGCAGCTTGACGACCTGGGTGCGGCCCTGGATGGCGGCGACATGCAGCGGGGTATTGCCGTCCTTGTCCCTCGCATTGACGTCGAGGATGCCCGCACCGTCGGACAGGACGTACTCGACAACCTGGAACTCGGCGCATTGGATCGCAAGGTGCAGGACGGTGGTGTCGTCGAGGCCGGGGCCGCTGAGGGTGCTGATGGAGGAGATGCTCGTTCTTGGGCCGCCCTCGGCGGTGTCCCGTATGGCCTTGGATATGGATGCCGTGTCGCCGCTCCGCAGGGCCTCGACGATGCGGAACTTGCGAACGGACTGCTCGAGGGAGACGCCCTTCTCGCTGCCGCCGACGCTGCTCATCTTGGTAGTCAAACCGGCGGGTGGGCTGTTGTGGGATGGGGTTCTTCCCATTGAGGGGGATGTTGTGGAAAGACGGGAGGCGGAGACGCCGCGGGGGGCGTTTTGGGCCATGGATATGTTTGTCTGGGATGTCGCTGCTGAGGTGGGCGACGTCAGCGGCGCACCTTCGTCCGAGTTGGAGGGATCTTCGTCGCCGCGGGAGTGGTTTCTTCGGAGGAGGGAGAGGGCGGCAGCCGACTTTGAGCGCTTGTGGGTGCTGGGGAAGTCAGTCGAGTGTCAGCCAGCTCTATGCATCCGCAAAGGGTGTTGCTGCGGCCCAGCGGACCGTAGGACGCGTGGAAGGTAGGTAGTGAGTGTATGCGGCGAGGGGAATGCTGCAGTTGTCTCACGGCGCGAGCCAGAGGACCGTCGAACGCATGCCAGCTGATGTAGGGTTCAGGGAGAGGGAAGGGGGTGGTGTTCTGGCTGTTGGAACCTAACTCACCTATCACCAGCTTCCGACATTTTGGAGAATGGCAGCGGCAGCGGCTGGCTGGACGTGGAGTGGCAGACTGGAGAAGCCAAGCTTCACAGGACAGCAGCGACACTGACAGACAGCAGCAGCAGCGGGCCCCAAAGGTTGATTCCCCACCTTTGCTCGTAAGATAGTATGAGTTTATATGTAAGTATGCAATGACAGTGGATGGAGCAACAGGCGAACAGGGAATGGCAGTTTATGCTCGGGGCAATTGCTGGGTTCTGATGCGTGCTGATAGGTCAGGGGAACGGATGAAGATGGGGGAGATGTGATTTGGGTATGCGGCGGCGGGGGGGGAAGCACAATTGTGAGACGGACGTGCTTCGGTCGGCGACAAGACCTCAGGGGGTGGGGAGGAGCAGACTGGAATACGTGTAATAAAAAGGAGAGGAGCTGAGCTGGGCTGGAACGCTGCAGGAAACGCAGCACCGTATGTACTCAGAGAGATTGAATGAAGCCCAGGCGGGAAGAAGAAAGGTCAGGTCAGGTCACAATCGAGGACGAGGTCGAGAAGGAGGAATAATTGTTGTTGCAGCTGCCAAGTTTTGCACGTCGCACGAGAGCGAGACCGAAATAGGCTCACTCAGTCATCACATCACAGTGGCTTCCATCAGAAGACCTCTTTCTCATGTGTATCCGTAAGGTACATTTACCTACTACACCCAAGGTAGGTAGTTGTTCGCCTTGCTGCATCAGAAGCTGGCAATGATGGGCGGGAACAGCACACACTAGAGAGCGGATATCTGTACGCTATTTTACATAGCCCCGTTCGAATCTGGCTTCGACGGACGCTTGGAACAGCGCCTATGTTCTTTAGCCTTCAGCGCCCGCCCCTCCTCCCTCCCTCCTTCCTTGCAGCAATCCAGAAATGACGTCCAGGTGGGGTCATCCCTCCGCCAATCATGGCCTTCCCTTTTCCTGAGGTTAGCTGTGAACAAGGACACGGAGTTTAGGCGACCCTCCCTCCTCCCCCCTCCCACTGGCCATTGCCCGTCCCGTGCAGCAGCTTCCTCCTCCTGCTGCAAGCAGGCACAGAACGCAGGCACTGGCAGGGCACAGAGACAGCGCCGTCGAAGCACACCATCCCATGAGGCACTTCGGTGACACGGCAGGAATCCCAACTTGTGCCTGTGGCGTTGGTTTGAGCCACACCATGCAATTGTCATGCTCCCCCCGATTTGGGAATACTAACAAAGTAGCAACCTGCAACGGACATTGATCGCCCTGACTAAGGTCGCACCAGGCAATGGCACGCTGCGGCGGGCTGTTACCCGGCGAACATGTCAACGTCACCGGCAGTGGCCATACCCAGGTTACCAGACTTGGGTACCCTGAGTAATTGCACCGTAAGGCAATAATGAGGTGCTACCTATCAGCCAACGACCGCCCCGATAAGAAACGCCAGAAGCTTCTATCAGCACGAACATCATAGCCCAAAACGCATCAAGGTCGACGCCATGTCACGAACTGACCACGCACCATTACTCGATATATCAGACGTAGCATAGTGCGTGCCTGGGATGAACACGGGCGCTGTGCGTACAAGCCATGTATTGCCTATTTAAGAGCTCAGACACCCAAAGAGCCCCAATGCCCTTATCCGGGCCCGACTCCGCGACCGAAAGCCCACCCTTTCATGTATCCAATGTCAATACATGAAGAATATTATATAAGCCATAAAACTGGTCCCGTCCAAACGTCGTCGGACCCGTATATGTAACATATTGAGACCGTACTCACACCTTACAAAAGAAATGCGGCGGCCACCGCGGCGAATCCCGCGAAGCCAACAACACCGACCTTGCCTGCGCCAGCTTGGACCGGCTTGGTCGTGATGGGAGTGGCCGTGGTAATGCCGGAAGTGGGCTTGTTGGGGGACCCGGTGCCCGTCGCCGGAATAGTGGAGTTGGACTTGCCGACCGCCGTGATGGGGACGATCAGCGTCGTCTTGAGCGTCGTGGTCGAGTCCTTGCCGCCGTTGTTTCCACCATTATTTCCACCGTTGTTGCCGCCATTGTTACCGCCGTTGTTGCTGGAGCAGTTGGCGCCAGTGCACTTGTCACTGCTGCCGCCGCCGGGGCTCGTGGTCTTGGGAGAAGCAGGGACGCTGACCGAGGGCTGGTTGTTGCCGCCCTGGCCACCCCCAGTGGTCTTGGGAACGTCCTTGTTGCCTCCCTGGCCAGGAGTCGTCTTGGGGCTGCTGCCGTTGTCCGTGGCCTTGGGCGTCTTGGAGACGCTACCCGTCTTGGAGTGCTTGTGAGACTCCTTTCCGGTCTTGGTGGATGCCTTATCATTGCCCTTGGTAGACGCCTTCGTCGTGGGAGTCGCGGCAGTGACGGGGCAGATGGTGGTGTACCACGGAACAACCTTGGTGGTGACTTGGCCAACGGGGCAGTTGGTGACGGTGGAGGCACACGAGGTAACCGTGTAGACGTTGGTCTTGTAAACGGTGCTGGTGGTGAACTGTGTGGTGGAAGGCGTGGCAGCGGCAGTGGAAACGGCGCTGACAGGGCAGACGGTCGTGTACAAGGCGATGGTGGCAGTGGTCACCTGGCCAACAGGGCAGTTGGTGATGGAAGAGGCACACGAGGTGACGGTGTAGACAGAGGTGGTGAACACGGTGCTGGTGGTCATGGCCTGCGACACGGTGAAGGTGTTCTGCGCAGGGACAGCGGTCGAACCAGTTCCAGTAGCCTTGTCGGAAACGAAACCAGTGACGCTGAGCGAGCCAGAGCCCGTGGCAACGGCCTTGGCAGTTCCGGTAGCAGAGTCGCTGCCGGATGCGCCGTTGGTATCAACCGGCGTAGGCAAAGGCAGGCCATCGGTGCCGGTGGCAACCGCAGTTGCAGTGGCAGAGCCAGCACCAGAAGCAGTTCCGCTGGCGCCAGAGCCGGTGGGGACGGCCTTCGCAGTTCCAGAGGCCGAGTTGCTTCCAGACGCGTTGTTGGTGTCAACAGGCGTGGGCAGAGGAAGGCCGTCAGTGCCAGTGGCAACCGCGGTGGCAGACGCGCCAGCGTTGGAGCCGCTCGCGGAGATATTGCTACCTCCAGTCGCAGCAGCAGAAGCGCTGCCAGAAGCTCCAGCAGAGATGCCACCAGAAGCTCCCGCGGAAGCTCCGCCAGTAGCAGCTGCAGAAGCACTACCGGTCTTGCTCGCCGTGCCGGAGGGGAAGCCATCGTTGTCTTCCTCGCAGACGTCCGTTGCCGAAGCAGAGGCGCTGGCACTGGCGCTGGCCGCAGCAGAAGCGGAAGCAGAGGCGGAAGCAGCGCCGCTGGCGGATCCAGCGACGGAAACGGTTGCTGAGTTGGCGACAGAGCCAGCAGCTGAGGCAGAGACACCGCTGGCAGGTCCAGAGACAGAGACGGTAGCAGAGTTAACGACAGAACCGGCATCAGAGACGGATCCCGAAACTGAGGCACCAGTGGCTGAAGCAGAACCCGATGCAGACGCAGCGCCGGTTGCAGACGCAGAAGCTGAGATGGTGGCCGAGTTGGAGCCAGTGTCGGAGACGGAGGCAGAGCCAGAGACGGAGGCCGAACCAGAGTCAGAAGCGGAAGCACTGGCAGCTGAGCCGGACGCCGAGGCGGATGCAGCGGCGCTCGCGGATCCAGAAACAGAAATGGTGGCCGAGTTGGAGCCAGCGTCAGAGATGGAGGCAGATCCAGAACCAGAGCCGGAGCCCGATGCCGAAGCGCTGTCGCTCGCGCTCGCACTGGCGGCAGCGGAACCGCTGTTGGCAGCAGAGCCAGAAGCAGAAGAAGAAGCAGAGGCAGAGGCAGAAGCGGCACCGCTGGCGGATGCAGAGACGGAGACGGTAGCCGAGTTGACCATGGGACCAGAATCTGAGGCAGATGCACTAGCACTTACGCTGGCCGCCGAAGCAGAAGCCGAGACGCTCGCGCTGTTGGAAGGAATCTCGTCGCAGCCGTACTTCAGGGCAGCAGCGATAGCAACGTGGAAAGCCTCGCCGCCGACGAGGTTCATGCCGCCGCGGGTGGCATCCCAGACGGAGACACCACCAAAGTGCGCCTTGGCCTTGACCTTGCAGATCAAGTCCTTGACGACGGAGGGAGCGACGTAACCAGCCCAGCCAGCGGCAGGGCTGGCCAGAACACCAAGGTACAGCTTGGCATCCTTGCTCTGCGATGTCTGGGAGATGACGGTCTCCCAGTCGTCGTAGTTGGGGGTATCGGAGATCTGGCAGCCGGGGTTGTTGAAGAACTGGATAAAGAGGGCATCGAACTTGACGGTGTAGATGAGCTCCTTCAGCTGGAACCACTGGTCGCCGGTAGGGCACTGGGGAGCGGCAGAGATGTAGTAGTTGCCGCAGCTGCGGAGCTTCTCAACCAGCGCGATGTAGGGCTTTTGGTCGACTGGAGCGTCGTCAGCATTCACAATTCAGGGGTAAGATGGGACAAGACCTTGACATACCGTACTTGAACTCAAAGTCGATGTCGAAACCGTCGACGGAGACGTGCTCCGTCAAGCTGATATCAAACGGACGAGGGCCAGTCCAGGTCGGGTCGTAGGGACCGAAAGTCTTGTGCAGGAGCTCTCCAAACTCGTGGCCAGCGGCTTCGCTATCGACGTCGTAGGGGCATCCGTTTCCGCCGGTCAGGGACGTGTCGCACTGGCCGCCGACACTCAGGAGCACCTTGATTCCCTTGCTCTGGCAGTACTTGATGTCCGTCTTGATGTAGTCGCAGTTGGTGATGAGCTTGGTGGTCAAGCCGGTCAGGGGGTTCTTGAAGAACACCTCGCCGCCGCAGTGGCCGGCGAAGTTGGTCCCCGGGTATCCGTTACCCCACTTCGGGCTGTAAGTGACGAAGGAGAGAGAAACGGAGGTGACGCCGGGGGCATCGCAGTAGTTCGCAAGCCTGTCGTCGGGAAGGCCGTACTGTCCCCAGTAGAGGTTCAGTCCGCCCAAGTAAGCCGAAGCAGATGTTGTGGTCTGGACTGAGCTGCTGTGGGCGATGGCCGGGCCGACGGCGGCGGCGGCAGCCAAGAAAGAGGCCTTGAAGTGCATCTTTGAGTGAGTGGTATTATTAGATTATTAAAGAGTGTGTATCCGTATGTATGGATAGCGATAGTAAGGCGGCCGAAGCCAAGGAAAGAATGTGGTGATGATCTGAGATCAACGAAAGGACGCAAACGAAAATGTCTGCACGGCTGGATCGCACGCCGACGTCTCTGGCTTTCTTGACAGGACAGAGATGGGGTTGAAGAAGCAAGAGACGGAATGCGAGAAGCAGAAGAAGACGTCCCCTTCATATTCTGGGTTGCTTGCCGTTGCCGGCGACATGACGGTAGAGTCACTAACTCCATCAGGAGACGGGTGGAAGAATATTGCTCAACGGCACCGGATCGTGTGCGGGCAGCATGGCCAGAGGCGCAGGGGATAATCTCCCCATGTGGACTACCACAGTTGGGGAGGGTGAGCAGCAGCGGAAAAGCGTGGAAGCCATGGACTCTGACCTTCGGCGCGGTGACGATGCGTGTTAGTGAGTGGGTGTGAAGACGACGGCGTGGTGGTGAGCGCAGTCTAGAGAAGTTGAGAAGACGACCTGAAGTGACGATGGCAGTTGACGGTGGAAAACTGTGAGACTCGAAAAGGCAAGCGCCGCCTCTAGTGGCGCGGTGGACCAGGCGGCGGACCACTGAGCAGGCTGCTAGCGGGAACAGGAACAGGACTAGCGCAGCTCAACCGGTGCGACGGGCTGGCGAAATAGGGGTCATCCTGGGCCACCCACTGGTCGCGCCCCCTGAATGGACGACCTAACCTTGGAAGCTACCTGTCACCGGCGCCAACGCAACCACGGCGTCGGGCCCCTGGGCAACCATTGACGACCCCCAAGCCGCCGTTCCGGTCTCTTTTGGTGTTTTTTGTTTCTTAAGCCCGGTAAGTGGAGAGATCGGATGAGGGGGACGTTTGCAAGGCAACCGTTCTGCCGTTGCAGTTGTAAGTCGAAGCTCGCTGTCATGGTGGTTGATGCCCTCTAGCAATTTCACCGAGACGAACAATCTTGGGTGTTGACTTTATCTCATTGCAACGCCTCGAAAGTCAAAAAGAAGAAGAATCGTGAGAGGTAAGCACTGGTTAACCCCACCTAACAAGATGCGAAGGAGTCTAGAAGTGATCAGCATCATCGAACCTACATCTGTCGATGGCTCCCAAGCCGGCTTGCTGAATACCGAGCTGGACACATGGTCTGAGAGACCGGAAAAGAACATGGCCTTTGGTCCGCAGCTCGCCGCCATAAACCATCAGAAGACACAAACCGTCTTGCCGTGGTCTTAGACGCTTTTTCGTGCGAACTTGGGAAAGAGGAAATGAGGTGGCGGCAAGCCGGCGGTACACGATCCGTCTCCTCGGGAAAGCTCACTCTCACTCTTCACAACCCATTCCACATTTGTCCCCCCCTCGCACGTTCACTATCCTCTCAGAACTAGTTGCGCCATCATGCTAATTCTTTCCATCACCTTAAACGCCAAGATCCCGGCCCAAACACTGCTATTTGCGTCATGAGCCGGCTTTTCCTGTTTCTCGTTCAGCTCCGCGAGCGAGGCACATCGGGACCTGTCGTCCTTCGCATGTTGACTACTGCCGAGGAAAAGAGGCGCTGCCGAATCAGGGGCAGAGAGGAACTAATTGACAGCGTCCATCGTTCCCCGGTCTGGTGTTCTGTTCCCGTGCCAAGCTGACTGGAGATGCCCCAGTCCAAGCCTTTTTTTCTTCCGCGCACCCATGCCGGATTCCACGTGGATGTTGTCGTTCTGGGCCTCATGATCTTCATCCTCTTAGTCGTGCAATCCAAACAGTCACTATCGATGTCCGCTTCACACTCGTTGACATCCGTCTCTCGTGGTTGCGTCGTCTTCTATTCGAGAACGGCTATGATGCTATACCGCACACACTATTGACATGCGTCTTTTGATTCATGAGTGACTGAGGCAAACACTTTCCTTCTTCATAAAATGGAAAATAAGTGTGTAAATGAACTGATGTGCAGCCGGCCGTAACGCACCGCTCATCCGGAGCCCGTCCCAAAAGGGCAAGAGTTCAGCCAACAGACCCACTCCGGAACCCCGCGCACATCGAACCCATGACTGCCTTAGGTGAGCATAACGTTCCATCTCACCTCATCCAACTTCACCCACCATCGTCAACCACATCTCACGATGCGTGGCAGTGGAAATGAAGCACTCACCATGTCTCCGCGCCTCAAGCCAAAGCCGACATTGCCTGCTGTCAGCGGTGATCAGCGTCCCCGCGTCAGATGAGCCACTCCCCAGCCCAGTGGCCTGATTTCTACCACAAGTCTAGAACATCGATCACTTTGGTGCCAGCGGACGCATGGTGTTCATGAATATATCAAGCCTTCAGATCTTGGCTTCTGATTCATTTTGTCCTTCTCAAAGGTGTGAGTTACTCTACACCATTTCACCATTCACAACCCCGTTCCCACAAAGCCGCCAGCCAAACGCCCAAAGTCACATGGCGAAGCAATCCCAACCCCAACACCACGCTATACCCAAGCAACCAAAAACAAGAAACAAAAGAAATCCCATCCCATCCCATTCTCAACATCTCCTCATCCCCACGTCATCCCATCATCCTTATCCTCCTGATGCTGATCCGCCATCCTCTCCTCCTCCGCGCCCAGCATCCCGATATCCTTCCACCGCAGCGGGTTCTGCTCCCACCCCCACTCGATCCGGAAGTCCACCCCGCGCGCGTCCAGGTACCACGCAACAAGGCACTCGATCGAGCACGGCGCCGGGCGCGGACAGTCGCTCGCCAGCGGGCCCGACGGCATGTCCTCGCACCCGGAGAAGTCCCGCAGCGCCGGCCGGTCCGGGTTCGACGCTAGATCCACCATCTGCGCGAACCGGTCGTACATATACAGCCACTGCTGCATCGACGCCGCGTTGCCGTACGCGATCTGGTCAGTCGGGCCTATTTCCCACGTGTTAGTCCAGCACTTCACAGTCTCAAGTGAGATAATCAAGACAGAGACTTACCAACACCCACGCTGCCCTTCATCCTCGCGCAGTAAAAGTAATGCTCCCCCTTTGGATGCGGCAACACCAACGCATCCCCCAGCTCCTCCAGACTCTTGAACCCAGGCCGCGCCCAAAACGACGTGTCCGGCCGGATCCGCATCACCGTGTCGTGCGTGAACCCGTTCGCCACAGTCCACGCCCACCACCGCTGCGCCGCCAACGACACCGTCCTCAGCTGGTTGTTCAGCCGCCTCAACCTATCCCCGCACGGGAGCAGCATCGCCGCCTCGCCGCCGGGATACTCCACCTCCGCCTCAGCAACAGGCACCACATCCACCGACCGCAGATGCGTCCCGTAACACGCCCGCAGCTCCGCCTCGATGCTCTCCTTCGTGCGCCCGTGCACATCCACGTCCGCGGGCTCGTACAGCATGTACGCGAACACATCGATCTTGGTAAAGGACGGGTGCCCGTCGACGAGGTGCTCCATGTGCGTCTTGCAGGTAACGTGGTTCGTGCGGTACAGCCCCGCGACGATGACGGCCAGGCTGCGGCTCTTCTCGCGGTGGTCCGGCGGGATGCGCAAGTCGCACGCCCCCGCGAGGGTGAGCTTCCCGTCGTTGGAGAGCTCTAGGCTGCCGCGGGCGCCGCCCTTCTTGACGAGAGCACCTCCTTCTGGCGCTGCTTGGTTCTTGCACATCGTGAGAAGATCGCTGTGCCAGACCGTCACCCACGTGTTCTTCAGCATCGCATGCACAACCATCCGCACATGCCCGCCCTTCTTCTCCACAGTAACGGTGCGGCCGCCCGAATGCTTGTCGCCCGTGTCGGTCCACCACAGCGCGTGCGCTGAGCCGTCGAGGTCGTTGTGCGACAGGACAAGATCCCCGTCGGGCTGCAGGACGAGCGAGTACCGCCCGTTGGGCGAGGTGAACACGGGGCTGCCGGCCGAGAGGAGCACGCCGTTCTCGTCCGGCGTGAGTATCGAAGCCAGAACTCCGGAATCCGTGTCGCTGGTCGTTTCTGACGAAGGCCCTCCTCCTCCTCCTCCGTCTGGTATGGGCGTAGTACTAGACCCTGACGCCGCAGGGCGATGTAAGCCGGGCACGCGCAGCCCGGATGTCGCAACATGCCAGTCGGGCTGTAGCACCAGCGCCGCCGACACGAGGAACATGATCAGGGCGGCGATGATGATTCTCGACCGGCGCGAGGCGCCAGCCGAGCGGAGGTGCGCCCAGCCAGATTGGTTCACTATCATCGCGTCGGTGTTAGTCGGTCCCATGATCGGACGTCGTCTCTTTTCCCCTCCCTCCTTGCTGTGTCTTCCTCTTTCTCCGTTTCCTTTTCTCACGCACTCGCTGTGTCTCGTTTGTGTTCCTCTCCCCCCGAAGCTCGTGGTGTGGGAAAGAAAGCCTCTCCGGCGAGAGAAGGGGGTTACAACAGAAAAGAAAGAGCTCTTAGATCCCAACGTGATGAAAGAAAGTAAAGATGACGGGGGAGACTGACTTTCTAAACGTGAGAACAGACCTGCGTATGCTGCCCTTACACACACACACACACACACACACAAACAGAAACGATCGGAAAGATCAACAGGCGAATGTGTTCGAGCGAACACCCCGCGTCTATATCAGATGACGCTCCAACAAGCAGCCGTTGAGCTCTGACCTCCCTCCCTCCTTTTCCCTCTTTCCTCTGCAACTTACGCGTAACTAACTTGCAGTGTCAATAAACAATCCACTTTTTCGCCGAACCAAAGGGGGCGGAGAGAGTGTGCGAAAATAGACTTTGTGTTTTGTTGCGACGACTCGTAAGCTCCCCTACCCCGGAGCAACCGTCGCACGTCAGGGTTCGCAGGTCGGCCGTGTGGGAGGGCACCTAAGCGGAGGATGGGGGGGGGGGGGGGGTCGTTCAGGCGGAGACTTTTCCTGGATGTCTCTTTTGGTTTTCTTAGTGATCGATCGGGCTCGACGGGCGCCTCAGGACGATCGTTCCGGGCCAATCCTTGGTCGGGATCGAGGTAAAGTTGAGTAAAGTAGAGTCAAAGGGCTCTGCGGATAGACATGAGATGAAGACTGCTGGATTCTGAGACGCGGCGGCAGGGGAGGCTCTTGTGTATGGAAGGTCTTGGCGCGCCGGACAGCCCGGCGTTTGTCCTCTACAGCAAGAAAGGCAAAAGATTTTTTAGACTCCAGCAGGATGAAATGATTTGTCGCCGCTGGTGTAGGGATGGCAGGACTAGACGGGAAATTACACAGATAGCGACGGAGAGAAGGGTTGTTAGATGAGCTGCTTGAGCCTCTAATCAAAGCCTGCCAGCGCAACCATGCAGCAATTAAGAGGAATAAACCCTTTTATTATAGGACGACAGGCAGCTAATCAGATAACCAAAGGCCAATACCAAGAAAAATCCCAAGACCCGACGAGGTCCATCTCGGGCAACGGATGTTCGCATCAGGATGCACAGAGTATTTTGGTCTTCGGTCTCTGTACGAGCAGTCGGACCAATCGGGCGGGTGCCTTTTGCCTGGTGCCTCTGCCGCCTGGGCGGTGACGCACCATTTGTACGGTCTCCTCGGGAAGTTCCTTGGGTCTGGGTTGACCCTTGGCCCCCAATCACGATAGTCCAGCAAAGACAGATTGCTGACGGACGGGGCTTTCGTCGCCCGGCTGCTTAGCGCCAACGAACGCACACGCGGCACGGGAGGGCTTGGTAGTGAGAATCTTGACGCGTGCCGAGGCGGCGGCCCACCGTCCGGTCCGCACGGGAATTGCAACGATACGAAGAGACACTTTGGGTTCTTAGTCTGGTGTCGTGAGATGACAAACTGGACAAGTGCGGTGCAGTGCGACCAAATTCCGGCGCGGCGGTTGAGTGCGTTCTGTTGTAACTTGTGGGACGGGACGAGATAGGAGTCTTGATCCCTGCCAGATGCGCATCCTCGACGGCCTCCTGTCAAACCTTTCTGTCGAATTTGAACGTAACCGTTTCTAATTGCACAGCCTTCAAGTCTTGGCCGGAAAGTCACTGACGCGACAGCGATGAGTCTGCTTGGCAGGGCGCACAAGCAACTGAGAAAAGAGAAAGTAATCAACTGAACCATACAAGACAACCAAACTCTCTTCCTAAGCCGCCGTCTCTGAATGACTCTCTTTCCGTCCGAGCGAAACAGGGCTTGCTAGGCATAGTCTAAGGTTGTATCGAGTTCCCAGAGTTCTGGCCAGCAAAAGTGTTAGGCGCCCACCGGCCAGTGCCACCCACGAAAGCAGCATGACGCTGTCGATATGCCCGTGCGGCTCATACCTTGGACAGGCCGAGATTTTCCGCACACCAGGCCTAACCGCGCCGGAGAGAGAGGACCGAAAATGGGCTAGCTGAGATTACGACGCAAATTGATAGTGTATGATAAGGTATATTAGCTATTTCTTCTCACTGAAAATCGAGTGCTCATATCCAAGCTGAGCAGATGAAAGGGGATCGTCTTCGCCGTCTGAACATAAACCAGGGCCAAGACATCTGTCTCGGCATCCAACTGTCGTCGAATGCCCCTGCATTAAAACCGTAACTCTTGTCGAAACAACCCCTTCAACCCCTGGATTCGTCACTCAACAGCGACAGCACTCTCTTAAGCAAACTGCCCCGCGGAAGCAGCAACCTGTCTCTTTCGTGCGGCGTTGATGGCCTTGAGCTTCGCAGTGCCCAGACCAGCAACACCGTCCTCCTGGGCGTCGCCCAACCAAGGCTTCTTCGAATCGCCCAACATGCTGCCAGCGAGGAAGTATGCGATTTGGCCGAGGATGATGAGCACAAAAGCAATGGGGTACATCCAGTGGATGGTGTAGCCGAAGACGTTGACGCCGATGATGATACCCCAGAAGTTGCCCGTGAGCAGCGAGATGTTGTAAAAGGCTGCACTGGCCATGCGCAACAGCACAGGCACCAAGCTGTAGAACAGGCAGAGGGCCAGAGTGTAGCCGACCAGGTATCCGGCAGCGGCGCCGTCCCACGTCGCCTCTTGGAAGGACTGGCGATCGAAAATGGCAGCTTGCACGCCGTTGATGCACATTCCCCACATGCCCATGAAAGCGAGAACCTCATAGACGGGACGCTTGCTGACAAACCATTCCTCAGTGACGTTGGTGACACCGTAAAGCGTGGCCCCCAGCAGGGCAAAGAGGTCACCCTTCAGCAGATCGACACCAGGACCGCCGTTGGAACCGGTGATGTGGTCAGAGGCCAGAAGGACACCGCATCCGCCAATGGCGACAATGATACCAAGGATCTGGAAGATCTTGTAGCGCACCTTCAAGAGGGTGAAGGAGAGGATGATCACGATGACAATGGCCCAGAAGTTGAGCAGCTGGGCCGACAAGATGTTGGTGTAGCGGTAGGCCAGAACCGTGAAGTAGTTGCCCTCAACATCAAGGAACGAGAGGATGAAGTACTTCCAGCCGTCCTTAAGCAGAATCTTGGCCCATCTCTTGACTCCATAGTGCCAGATGGTAATGGGGAAGTAGATGAGGAAGAGGAGGATGTAGTTGAAGACAGTCTGGAAGGCCGGGATTGAAACACCGTTGGTGGAAAGGAGGTTAGTGAAGGTGTTCGTCGAGGTGATGCACAAGGCGAGGATCTGGCCAATGACAAGGACGATCCAGAAGTCGACGGTGGTGAAGTAGCTCCACCAGTGGACTTTTTGCGCTTCGATGTTCTGCAGACCCTGGTTGACCAGCTCAGACTCGTCGATGCCACCGGTGATCTGCGTCGTCGTCACCGGGGAGTGGTCGAGGTTCTTGGGGGTATCCTCGGCGGCCATCGTGGGCAATGGCTCGTAGGCGTGTCTCTCTCGTTGAGGATCGGAGGTTCTGGTGGTGGTGAAAGGCAATCGCGAGAGCGGTAGCGACAGTACGGACTGGATTCGTGAGGCAACGCCTGGCATACAACCTGGCGATGCGGTCAGCCGCCGTCGCACACAATGCGCGAGGGTACTATCTCATTCGGTCGACATACCTACGTACAAGCTCGATCAAGCGATGTCGTCGCGCGACAATCTCAGTCTCCAATTGAGATGTATTGTCGCGATAAGTGGTGATTAACGTGAATATCACTGCTATTCGGTCTTTCTCGTCCCCTATCAGCAAGCGCAAAGACTCAAAGTCGCCTGCTGGTGATTCTATCTTGCGATAGAACGGCACATAGACCGATGCGCCGGGAAGTGGTAGTTGAAGAAGTCGGCCGAGATGGCGCGCAACATATGATGGTCGTCCAAGAGCTTGGAGCTGGTGGTGTTGAGAGCAGACTACAGGAGACAGCGATGGCCTGTCTTCCTTTGGGCAGCGCGTGACGAAACTGGTCGCAATCGAGACCGGCGCAAAACTCTCAGTCGCAGGAGGAGGGGGACCAGAGGTGGTGAGAGGTGAGGCTAGACGGCGACGGGAGGAATTTATCGAGGTGACATCCCAGCATCAGTCAACAAAAAAGAAAGGGAAAAAAACTTTCAGGTGCTAGGGGAGTTTGCGCTATCCATTATCGCTAACTGCAAGGTATCGCGCCAGTGACAGGGTGGGAGGTGGGGAGCTTCTTCAGTTGCCACGAGGGTTGGGTGGTCTGCATGTGACGTTCCGCACGCCTGACTGGCCAGCCACTGTGAACTGGCCCGGACCAACACACCGCAACCGGCCCTGGAAGGCGGAACCGGCCGACTCCCCCTCCTCCAGTGGACGGTGCGCCGGCGAACCTGCCTTTCAGAGACCAACATCCCCGTCCATCACCCAGTCCGCCGCGTTCTGGCTCGCTCGAGGAGGGGCACCTGGTCCGTGTTAGTGCTCTTTTGGCAGGCGTTAAGGTCCGATGGTGGGGGCCGCGGGGTCCTGAATCCTTCCTTGCATCCCTTGCGAATCCTCCCGACCTCCAGTATCCCGACGGCGCGGCGTGATCCAACATGGCGTCGGAAGCTGAAAAGTCGAAAGTCAACCATCAGGTTGGGTCGGTCTTGATTGGCTGAAATTCTAAGATTTCCCGCGTGGATGGCCCAGGTTGGGTAATGTGGCTGCTATAGCTGCACACACGCCAAGACCTCGACTAAGCTTGTCGAAGGTCCGGAGCATACGCAATAAGTGAAAAACCTCATTATGAAATTTTGATATAAACTGTCTCACTTTATGCATGTTGCTAGGCTGAGCGATGCTTTATAAACCAAACTCGTCTTTGGTTTGGATTTCGAGGACCTGTTCACACGTGGTTCCTCACTCACTGCATGC